AAAAACGACAAAATATTCCCAGATGAACATTTTACGGTAACAGTGAACCAGAAAAAAAAACATTACCCGAAAAAAATACAAAAAAAAAAATTCATTTTATCTTCATCAAATTATCTCAGACTTGCTCTGTGTTGTTGTTTGTAACCATAGTTTGTTGAATCAATTTTTGCTTTTTTTCGGATTCTATTTTTCCTGTTTTTTCTGCTTTTTAATTAATATAATCAGCCAGACAAACAAACAATCCAAGTGATGATGATGAAAGGAAAATAACAAACAGCAAAACACACACACACACACATATATAAATCATTATGAAATTAAGGCAGTGAAGCCAACATTTTGTTATGAAATTTTTTTTTTCTTACATCATTTTTTTTTTGCTTGTTCGAAAAGTTTCTTCATTTTTGTTGTTGTTTGGTCTTCATTTGAATTTTTGAATTATTTGAGCAAATTCCAGCAAGAAAAATCAAACAAATCGAACAGACATAATTCAAGAAAAACGAAAAAAGAAGAAGAAAAAATTGTATCGATTTGATTGTTGATTTTTTTCTGTTTGTAAATAAAAATAAAATAAAAAATGAAAATTTAAAAGTGAAATGAATTGTAAAAATAAATAAAAAAAAATTTGTTTTGCCATTATTTCCTCCCTCTTCATCATCCAATCTATCTCCATAAAACATATTTTTTATTACTTACTTATTACTTTTTTTTATTATTATTGATCATCAATTTCATCTCTCTCTCTCTCTCTCTCTCTCTCTCTCTCTCTCTCTCTTTCATTGGAGTCCAATAGTGATTCCATTAATAATGATGATTATGCCATATCAATAAATCATATTGTTTTGTTTAGTTTTGTTTACTTACTTTACTTACTTACTTACAGCAACAACAACAATAATTTCTACACTTGTCTACGAAAAAAAATGAGAGCAAAAGAATAAAGACCGAAGAAAACTGAGAAAGATTCATTTTTATTATGAAATTTTCTTTTTTTAGGGGGAAAAGAGAAAAAAGATATTTCAGAGTGAAAAATGATGTTGAAACAGCGACAAAATGATCCAAAGAAAGAAGAAAGAAGAAGAAATGGACAAGAAAAACCAAACAAACTCTATTCTTTTCATTAGTTTAGATTTTCTTCAAATGATGACCATATCACTATAATAAATATCCAGTAACAAAATTTTTTTTTTTGGTGGATGTATTAAATGGATGATTTGTACACACGCACATGTACACATGCATTGGCGGGCAGTGGCAACTTCTCCTTAGGACACACGCACACCCACTTTAATCACACACACGACACACACACACACTACTAAATTGATTACCCCACTTTACACAATAACCGAATTTTTTTTTTCATTTTCATTTTCATTTTCGTTTTTCAATTCAAACATTTTTTGTTGAAAAAGACCAAAGAAAAATATCAGTTTAGTTCAAATTTAATCAATTATATGATATATCCTTCTTTTTCTTCTCGTTTTTTTGTTGTTGTTGCTTGTTTGATATATATCAATAATAATCGAAAGAAATTTTCTTTTTTTTCAAGTTTCAAGCTTTTCTTTTATTTGCTAATATAGTGGCCAGAGAGCAAGAGAGAGATTCATTCTTTCAAAACGAATGATAATGATGATGATGATGATTGAGAACACTCACTTATCATCGGCATCAAATCAATTTTATGTTAATGTTTTTTATTAAGATTTTCATCAATTTTGTATTTATTTTTATAATGAAAATTGAACATTTTTTTTATTTTGTGGAACAAAAAAAAAATGTCAAATTCAGTCATTTTGCTTGTCAAATTACTGTTATTACCAAGGATGATGATATAAGAAAATTATTATAATATTTTGAGAATAATCAGCCAGAATATTTACCAGCCAGCTGTTGTTGTTTGCTTTATTTAACCCTTTTTTTTCTTTCTCTAACTATTTTTTTTTTGATTTGTTGATTTGGTTTGGTACATATTTTTTGAATATTAAAATCTCTCTCTCAATTCATCCGAAAAAAGTCGCACCAAGAGAAAGTCACGAAAGCTAATTTACTGCAAAAAAAGAAATTCTCATTGCTTTATTATTATTATTATTCTTATTTGGCCAAAAAAAAAGCTTTACGGTAGTAAAAAAAAGAAGTCTGCTGGTATTTTTTTTTTGTTTTCTGGTGTAAATAAAACGAAGAAAAAGACAAGAAGCAAAAAAGACAAAAACAAAGTAAAGTTAGCTGTCAAAACAGTATCAGTGTCAAAAGATTGATCAAAAAAGGAAATCTTCGTTCATTTTTTCGTTCATTCATTGTTTGCGAATCTTGAACGTTTTTTCTTTCATTGTTTTTCCTTGTGCATAATGATGATATTCATCCGAACAAAAAATGATAATAATAATGCTTTCTTTCATTGTTACCCGCTTTTCTTTTTCTTTTTCTTTTTCCCAGAATGTAATTTAATCGGAACCCGAAAAGAAGAAAGAAACAATAATAATAATAACCGAATCACAAAAATAAAGCCGGTATTGCTCATTTTATGCTCTTCGGGAAATCATCATAATTTTATTTATAATAACCGCTTGTGTGTCGGTGAATGTAAAAAACAACTAAAAACGACTAAAGAATCAATATTCTTTTCGCAATATTGTTGTTATCGATTTTTTTTTATTTGTTTTTCATAATGAAAATCCAAATACAAATTACCGATAATAATCATAATAATCATAATAGTAATTTAATTTATTACAATCATCATCATCAACATCAACATTGGAAATACGTAAAACATAAACGTATTAGCAATTATTATTATGATCATCATCATCATTGTAATAACTTTTTCAACATTATTTTAATATCGGTTAGTTTTTTGGAATCCCATTGAATCATTTTTTGTAATTATTTTGTAATTTTTTTGTAATTTCTCGTTTTTTTAGTTATTTTTTAGCTATTTTCATAATCAATNATATGATATATATCCTTTTTTCTTCTCTTTGTTGTTGCTTGTTTGATATATCAATAATAATCGAAAGAAATTTTCTTTTTTATTTGCTAATATGGTGGGCCAGAGAGAGAGAGAGAGAGAGAGAGAGAGAGAGAGAGAGAGATTCATTTCATTCTTTCAAAACGAATGATGATGATGATGATTGAGAACTTATCATACCAGAAAATTAATTTTATGTTAATGTTTTTTATTGAGATTTTTATCAATTTGTTTTTTTATAATGAAAAAATTGAACATTTTTTTTTTATTTTGTCTAACCAAATAAAAAAAAACTGTCAAATTCAGTCATTTTGTTTGTCAAATTACTGCTGTTATTACCAAGGATGATGATGATATAAGAAAATTATTATAATATTTTAAGAATAATCAACCAGAATATTTAAGCCAGCTGTTGTTGTTTGCTTTATTTAACCCTTTTTCTCTCTCTCTCTAACTATTTTGTTTTGATTTGTTGATTTGGTTTGGGTACATATTTTTTTGAATATAAAAATTCTCTCTCTCTCTCTCTCTCCTCAATTCATCCGAAAAAAGTCGCACCAAGAGAAAGTCACGAAAGCCAATTTACCGTAAAAAGATTCTCATTGCTTTATTATTCTTATTTAACCAAAAAAAAAGCTTTACAAAAAAGAAGTCTGCTGGTATTTTTTCTCGTGTAAATGAAACAAGAAAAAGACAAAAAGAAAGACAAAACAAGAAGCAAGAAGCAAAAGACAAAAACGACAAAAGACAAAACCAAATAAAGTTAGCTGTCAAAACAGTATCTGTCAAACAAAATTGATCAAAAAGAAATCTTCGTTCATTCATTCATTCATTGTTTGCGAATCTTAAACGTTTCATTGTTTTTCCTTGCATAATAATAATAATAATAATAATGATATTCATCCGAACCAAAAATGATAATAATAATGCTTTTTTTTCTCTTTTGTTACCCGCTTTTCTTTCTTTCCCAGAATGTAATTTAATCGGAACCCGAGAAGAAAGAAACAATAATAACCGAATCACAAAAATAAAGCCGGTATTGCTCATTTCATTCTTCGGAAATCATCATAATTTTGCTTATTAACACCGCGTGTGTTTGTGCCGGTGTGTCGGTGGAAAAAAGAAACAAAACAGCAACTAAAACGACTAAAAAAAGGAAAATCAATACTCTTTTCGCAATATTATCGATTTTTTTGTTTTTCATAATGAAAATCCAAATACAAATTACCGATAATAATAATCATAATAGTAATTTAATTTATTACAATCATCATCATCATCATCAACATTGGAAATACGTAAAACATAAACGTTTTAGCAATTATTATAATCATCATCATTGTAATAACTTTTTCAACATTATTTTAATATCGGTTAGTTTTTTGGAATCCCATTGAATCATTTTTTGTAATTATTTTGTAATTTTTTTGTAATTTCTCGTTTTTTTAGTTATTTTTTAGCTATTTTCATAATCAATTATCTTGTTTTACAATAGCTCAATCATCATCATCATCATCATCATCATCTTTGATTGATGAAAATCAATTATTATCATCATTAATAAATAATAATCATCATAATCAACATCATCATAATCATCATGCATATTATTTTTTAAAACCATCAAATTTTTTTAATGAATATTTTGATTGTCGTTTTGGTTTAATAATGAATGAATTAAGAAAATTGTCTGAAAATAATGAAAATGATGAAAACAATGACGAAAACAATGACGAAAACAACGATGATGACAAGGACAACAACACGATTCTCGATGATAGTAAAAGACAAAACAGTGAAAAACTGATACAATCAAATCCAAATTCACAGATAAATTGTCCAGCTGATTGTGATGGTATAACATTATGGCCTGAAACTAAACAAAATAATAAACATTTTATATTTTGTCATGAAATATTAAATATTTTACATGAACGTACTTTATTGATTGAAAAATCATCACCGTCATCATCATTACAAGATAATGATAATAATTTAATTAATTATCATCAACCAATTATCAATCAACATCAACATCAACATCGTCATAATCATATTACAGTTGATGATTGGCAATCAATGTCTGATAATTTTGCTAATCATTATCAACCACAACAATCTAAACAACAATCAAATCAACAATCAAAACAACAACAATCAAATCAACAACAATCAAATCAATATGAATATAAATCATTATCATTAACAAAAGTATCAAGATATTGTAATCAATATGGTAATTGGGAATCAAATGCAAATTATTCAATATGCGGTTTAGATAATGATAAATTGGTAAATTTAATTGAATTTTTTTGCTTACTTTGATGGCACTTGAATTGAAAAATGTTTGTTTGTTTTTTTTTAATTGAAATTTCTATTTTTATCCCAAAAAAAAAGTTTCTGCTAACCACCGATCAATTGCAGAAAATCTATGAAATTCGTGAACGTATGATACATAGCAAATTTACACAAAATATTGAAAGTGAAAAAGCATTTATCGATTGTATTGATAATGTATTATCATTACCATCAAATTCTGATTGTAAGTTGATCATCCATCCATCCATCCACTTATATCATTACACATCAACAATTCCGGAATCAAAAAAAAACAATTAAAAATTAATTTTCCATTCCCTTCATTCAATGGTTTTTCCTTTTCTCTATTTTTCTTTCTTTTTTCTTTTTTCATTCGGTTAAAGTGGCCAAACCATACTGTGAACGTACATTTGATGGTTGGACTTGTTTCAATGATACTCCAGCTGGTGAAGTATCATATTTTCCTTGTCCAGATTTTGTATATGGATTCAATTCACAAAGTTTGTTTTTTTTTTGTTTTGTTTTTCATTCATACACACTCAAAATCAATGATACTAATATTGATTTTTTTTCCTTTATTTTCTTGAAAATCCATTTTCCTCATCATTATTATTTCCGATTTGGATTTTTTCATACATTCATTTTTCGATTGAAAAATAACCGGGAAAAAACAAAAAAAAAACTTGAACAGATCAAGCACATAAAACATGTACAAAAGAAGGAAAATGGCGTGTACATCATGAAACACATGTACCATGGACTAATTATACATCTTGTGTTGATATTCCTGATCTTAATGTATGTTATAAAGGAATTATTTATTGTTCTTTTTAGCTTCTTAATTCACTTACTTATTTACTTACTTACTTACTTGTATTTGATTTGCAAAAAAAGTAAAAGTAAAGAAAAGAAAAGATGAAAAACTTTCCCAATCATTAATAAGTTTATCAGAGCTTATTCTCCCTTTCTCCAATCTTTTCAATCGAAAATCCATGTTTTTGGTTCGTTCGTTCGTTCGGTTTTTTTGTTTGTTTGTTTGATTTTATTCTTATTATTAATACTTTGATGAAGCTGTAGAAATGTTATGTTTGTTTGGTGTTTTGGTGTTTCGTACATGACATCAAATTTCTTAATTTTTTTATTTTTCTGATTACAAAAATTTTTTTTCTTCTTTCTTCTTTTGTTTTTCTTAATCAAACATTGATTTTTTCAAAACAAAACAAATGAAAATGAAAAAATCCATTTCCAAAATAAAAAAAAATTATAGTTTCGTAATATGATCATCAAACTGCATATTGTTGGCTATTCAATATCATTGGTTGCATTATTAATTTCGATAACAATTTTTGTTTCATTCAAGTAAGTTTATTTATGTTTTTTTTTGAAAAATAAATGTTTTTCCAATGAAAAAATTCTTCCCGATTTTTTCGTTGAATCAAATTTCGTTTATTAACTTTTTTCTTCTTTTTTCTTTTTTCAAAAATCCCATTATGAAATCAAACAACGAAAAACAAACAAACAAAAACAAACCAAACAACCAAAAAAAATGTAAAGAACATTATCATCACAAACCCGAATACGAATACATAAAAATCTTTTTCTAAGTTTTATTATCAATAATTTTATGTGGTAAGTGTTTTGTTTTTCATTTAATAATCTTTTCAAGTTTTTGGTTTTGTTTTTGGTTTTGAATATTTCCAATATTCAAACGGGGGGTAAACGGGGTTAAAATCATTAATATAATCGTGTAATTACTGTAAATGGATTTTATTTTTTGTTCGGTTGAAAGTTTTTTACTTCTTTTTGTCATTTTTCGGTTAATTTTTAATAACTATTTTTTCATTTCATTTCATTTTGTTCAGGATCATCTGGTATTTAGTAATACGAGATGGAAATATTCTATTTGAAAATGGTGTAAGTAAATTCATTTTTTCGATTTTGTTTTTGTTTTTTTTTGTTCATCCATCACCTTTTTTGTCCAAAAAAAACTGGTGAAAATAGTCAATCAGATTTATTATCAAGTTACTTACAGGGAAAATGTTGTTTTTTGTTCAGAAATGTTGTTTTTTTTTGTTTATGTTTTTGTTTTTCCGGGTTTTTTCCCGGTAAAAGGCAAAAACAGATAAAAATTTAATGAAAATTCTCACTAAAATTCTCATTCTGTATAGTGTGCTATGGCTAAATTCAATGATTATAAATGATCATTTGGCCATTGTTTTGTTCAAGTTTTAATTAAAAAACCAAATACAAAACAAAATAAACAAACAAAAATCTATCAATATGATACATGATAAATGATTAATGATGAACAAAAAATCATATGATTATCAAATGATTGACATTTAATTTTTAATTATAACTGTAATTTGTAATTTGTAATTAATTCATCAATCAGATTAACTAATTAATCATTCTTTGTTTCTTTTCATTCGAATATGTCCATTTCTCATCCGGAAAAAAATCAAAAATCAAAAATGTTCATCAAAATGTTTTGCTGTATTTATTGTTTTTCGTTGTTTTTTCGTTGCTTTGTTGTCAAAGTTTTTCTGTCAAGCATTACATGTTGTATTACATTATTTTCTTGTTTGTAATTATTTTTGGATGTTTTGTGAAGGCCTTTATCTACATACAATATTAGTAAATGCATTTGTAACGGAAGAAAAAATACTTAAATGGTTTTATATGATTGGTTGGTGTATACCGATTATATTTGTTTCAGCATATGCAACATTTCGTGCAAATTCTACTGATGCTAAAAAGTAAGAATATATTTTCTTTTTTTCTATTTTTTTTTTGGCTGAGAAAAGAGATGACAAGAAAAAAAAACAATTTGTTTTTGGTGTTGTTTTTTCCATAATATCCTTATCATTTATTTTCCATTCCATTCCTATGAAACCAAAATATTTTTTTCTTTTTTTTCTTTCAGTTGTTGGATTGATGAAAGTCTTTATACATGGATATTAAACATTCCGGTTATTATATCATTTGTGGTAAGTCAAAAGAAAAAAACATATCATATCATATCATTTCTTATTATTTTCCACCACACTTCAATGTTTTTTTTTCTGGTTCTGTTCTGTCATTCATTCATTCATTCATTTTTAATAGTTAAACATATTTTTTCTTATCAATATTGTTCGTGTACTTGTTACAAAATTACAAGCTGTCAACACTGCTGATGCACATCATACAAGGTATTTTTGTAATTGTAATGGTTTATAGATATGGATTATTGTTTTATTATTTTTATTTATTTGTCACTAATAATAATAATAATACAGAAAAGCGGTTCGAGCTACATTAATATTGATACCATTATTAGGCCTTAATTATATATTAACACCATTTCGACCAGAAACAAATGATTCAGCAGCCAGAATATATGAAATATTTTCAGCTATTGTTTTATCATTACAAGGATTTTGTGTTTCAATGTTGTTCTGTTATTTTAATGGAGAGGTAAAATAAATTTGTAATTTGTAATTTGGGATTTTTATTAGTTTTTTTTTCTCATTATTTTTGTTTTTTTTCATAAACCTTTTTTTCCAAAAAAAAGGTTTTAACTGTTTTAAAAAAAAGATGGAATCAATTTTTAATCGTCAGAGGTTATACACATAATCATCGTATTACATCACATCATGGTACTGAAATATCGGTAAGTTTAATATTTTCAAAATACAAAATACAAAAATAAAAACATAAACATCCCGTGTTGATAATTCGTGTTAAATGTCATCATTTAATTTAGCTTGTTAGTTTTTTACAATAGAAAAAAAATTGTATGTAAAATATTTAAAAAAAGAAACGAAAAACTAAATAATCAAATTATCCATTTGTTTTGTTTTGTTTTGTTTTGTTTTGTCTAAAAAACTTTAGATAAATCTTTCGGATTATGAAATGACGAATGACAATTATTCTCATCATCATCATCATGACCGCAAAAATGGTAATCATAAAAACAACAGCAAAAACAACAACAACAACAACAATGAATTGATGCGTCTAAAGAATTAGAGAATTTTAAAAAGAAAGCAGAATCATCATCAAGTTGATTTCAAATCAAGTTTTTTTTTTGTGAATAGCAATCATCATCATTGTGATTATCATGTGATTCTTTTAAATGAATATAGTAATCCTATTTATTTACTAATTTTGATTAAAGAAAAGAGAAGAGAAAAGAAAATCCTTGCGAAATTCGCAAAATCCAAATCAAAAAATGTACGAAATGGCTGGCAATTTTGATTTCTGTTGTTTGTTTTTTTCTTTTATTTTCTTCAAGTTTGAAATTTTCAAGTTTTCAAACAAACAAAAACCAAAAATCCCGAGAGACATTAATTGTTGTGGTTTTTCTGTTTCTGCTTCTGTTGTTGTTGATTCTTGAATGCATCCATCAACCAAAAAAAAAAAAAAAAAAAAAAAAAAACAAAACAATCCAGGTAAGCAACAGTTCAAACAAACAAACAACAAATCTTGTTATCATCACTTCTCTCAGTTAGTTATCCAAAAGCAAAAAAAAAAAACCAAAATTTTCCTTTCCAGAAAGTTTTCTTCCCAGAAAAAATTCTCCCTGAATGAAAAATTGATTCAATTTTTGACTTCTTTCCATTTCATTCTGTACCGTTTTTTTGTTTTTTTTTGCATCTTCCAAATAGAAATTTCAACAACAGACCAGACCAGACCAATTTTCATTCAGCAAAAAATGTTTTGTTCTAAGCTGATTATGGATGGGATTTTTGCTGTTGCTGTTTCGTTGCTGTTGTTTCCTTGTATTTTTTCTTCTCTCCATTGATTGAATGAATGGATGCAATGAACGAATGGGATCTATATATGTTCATTTTCACTTCGCCTCATCATTGTTTCTCTCTCTCTCTCTCTCTCTCTNTTTTTTTGCATCTTCCAAATAGAAATTTCAACAACAGACCAGACCAGACCAATTTTCATTCAGCAAAAAATGTTTTGTTCTAAGCTGATTATGGATGGGATTTTTGCTGTTGCTGTTTCGTTGCTGTTGTTTCCTTGTATTTTTTCTTCTCTCCATTGATTGAATGAATGGATGCAATGAACGAATGGGATCTATATATGTTCATTTTCACTTCGCCTCATCATTGTTTCTCTCTCTCTCTCTCTCTCTTCGGTTATCCAACACACAATGCCTGTGATAAAATACGTATTTCATTTTTCCTGTTTCTTCCCTCCTTGATTTTTCATTTTTTACTTTTTTTTGTGTTTTTTTGACCAAAAATTCTGTTTTGTTTTGTAGAATGTACAAAAAAAAATAATTTTTCCATTTTTTTCCTTCTCTGTATATGTACAGTAATTGTAAAGTTTTTTTTTTTTGTTTTTGTCTTTGTTTTTCAAATCACTCTGTTTTTCTCGTGAAAAAATCATAATAATAATAATGATAAAAACCAAATGTAGACAACAAACATTCGTTCGTCGTCGATTCACACATTCCAATCATCATGATAATTTCGTTTGTTTTTTATTATAGAATTTTTTAAAAAATAAATAAATTTTCAATTTTCAAAGAAACCAATGTTGTTGTTGTTTTTGTTGTTGATTTTTAACGTATGAAACAAACAGAAAAAACGGATAATTTCCGTTTTGGTTATGGATATTGGAAAGTGAAACTAAAATATATCCATATATAGCCAAGGCTTATAACCTTGGCTTTCATCAACATTAACATTTTGTAACCAATATATGCATCCGTTGTTTCAAATAGTATAGATTATTTCACCTGAAAACCTTTTTTTTTCAGTTAGTTCTGTAGTTAGCTTTTGGGAAAAAAAATTTTTTTGCTTCAATGGTTTTTCGACTGTTGTTATTCGATGTTTGTTTATTCATTGTCTCTATTTATTTTGTAGTTTAGTTTTGCTAGATGGATAATTATATACACATCAATGGATATATACACACCATGTATGTAAATGCATATAATGAAGCCAAAGCTTTGAAGAAAACAAAAAATTCAAATCGATCCAGATTTTCAACAACAAAAACAACAACAAAAGGTGTTTGCTGTTGTTGTTGAAAATCCTTGAAATATTTTGCCCATTCCAAAAAGAAAATCATTCATTCAAAACTCATATATTTGTTGCTGGTTTGATTTACTTTAGTGTTTAGTGTTTTGATCAATCAAAAATGATTCATCAAAAATCATCATCTTCGATCACAATATTGATGATAATCAATATTGTTGTTGTTGTTGTTGTTATGGTTGTTAAAAGTCAACCCGATCAGAATACAAATTTTGATGCATTATTTAGAGAATTGAATATATTGACCAGGCAACAATTACAAGAGCTTCAGGCTGCATCACCATCATCATCGAATGCAACAACAACAACAACAACAACAACATCGACACCGGACAACAAATCAAAAGCCGAAAAATTAATAACCGAATCAAATGATTCAACAACATCATTGAAACATGAAACATTTCGTTTGCCCGACGGTTATGATTGGAAAAAACCACCAAAATTTAATCGTTTAAATCCTATTAAAATTGCTGTAAATTTAACCATATTGGATACAACTATTGATAAATTGGAAAATGTTATTATATTGGATATGCAACTAAAAGAACGTTGGAAAGATCGCCGGTTAAGAATGCGTAAAAAAATCGATAAAAATAATGATCCAAAAAATGACCAAAGCGATGACTATGGTGATGATTATGACGATGATGATGGTAACAGTATTGATGGTCGAAAACGTAGAAAAAAATCAATGGAAAATTATGTATTGGATGGAAAATATCTTTCAAAATTATGGCATCCAATCAGTCATATACGTAATAATGCACATATAACAAATGCATTATTTGATAAACCAAAACAAACATTACAAAAAACTATTGAACAAGAAAAATTAATTGAAAATATTTTTATTATATCAAATGAATCAACAGCATTCATATGGATAACATTAAAAATGCGTGTCAATATTCCTATCTATGAATGTCATCGTGATGATAGCCGTCTATTTCCATTTGATAAAATTGAATGTTCATTTCATATTACGAATGGTCAGTAGTGTTGATCGATCGATCGATTGATTGATTTTTTTCTTTTGTTTTTTCTGATTTATTGATTTTGTTACATGTTATTTTTGTTCTAAACCACAGCACTTTACGATAAACGAACATTAATATATGAATGGGATTCAGTTAAATGGGATCATAATGAATATCATAGTGGACAATTTTATTTAAGAAAACTTAAAACATCTATACAAAATGAACCGATCATTGAATTGGGTAAACTTTTTTCTTTTTTTAAAATATTATTCACTGTTTCCATTCAAATATTAATAATAATTATTTCCGGAAAATTTCCGGATATTTTCATTATCATTTTTTTCCACACACACACATATATAGACGAAAGTGGCAATGAACATTCTATAATGCGTATTGATTTTATGTTAAATCGTCAAATTGGTGATTATATTCTCAATATATATGTTGTACATATATTCTTACTTATACTTTCAATATCAATATTTTGGATGTCAATACAAAATATTATCATTCGTATGACATTATCGATTATAATATTAATTATAATAAAATTTCAAACATTTCAAACATTAAAAGAAGAACAACGTATTGTTACGGCATTAAGTATATGGACATTTGGTTTAAGTTGTTTGATTATATTGGCAATATTATGTCATATTTTATCATATTATAGTTATCAACATAAATGGAATGAAAAAATTTTTGATCGATTAATCGATCGATGTCGTAATCAATCGTCAACACCCACATCATCTCATTCTTCATCATCAGCGAATGATAATGGTGATAATATCGACAATCAATCATCCACAAGCTCAACAACAGCAGAAGATAGTAAAATTGAATGGATCAAACAACGATGGAATAAATGGAAACAAAATTTATTGATCCGTATAAATTCAATTATAGTTAATAATTTAGAAAATAATCATAATTATAATGATACAAATTTTGTTGATATTATATCTAGAATTATATTGATTATTATATATTTATTATTTATAATTATATATTTTGTAAAATATACTTTTTGAATTATTATTATTATTGTTGGTTATAAATAAAAAAAATTGTAATATTGTATTTTCTCTCATTACAATTACAATTACAAACTAGCGACTGTTTTGTTTGGTTTTGGTCGAAAATCATCAATGATGAATGGGGAAATTCATTTCCTGTCATTGACATTCATCATCCATCCATTATTACCATTGTTGAAATCCTGACAAACAAAAAATTGTCGTCGTCGTTGCAAAGCAAAGTCCGAAATATGATATCATCAATAATAAAGTATATAGCAGTGTTTTGTTTTGGTTATCTCATCAATGGCATCAACAAAAATCGAGAAAAATATGAGCAATATTTTGTTCTTTTGCACCATGGTAACGCGCTCGACAGCAACAAGTAGCAAATCAAAAAAAGCAAATCAAAAAAAGCAACATTTTCAATCATCATCCTGTAATATTTATTGGTTACAAAAGACAAATCACCAACAACAACAACAACAACAAAAGTAACAAAAGAATCGACATTTCAAACACCAAAAATTATCAATGTTGCTGTTGATGACCAGAAAAATCTGTTAACCCTCATTCTTAATCACTGAATCTCTGATTCCTTTGTTGTTGTTGTTTTTTTTTCATTCACATTCAACTGACAATGATAATAATGAAACAATGAAACAATTGTGGAAAATTACAAATAAAATTGGCATCGGTAATTATCAAATGATGGATATATTTATCATCATAAAAAAATAATGATTATATTTTTGTTTGTTTCCAAAATCAAACCATTTTAGCAATCTGGAATTATCCAGTAAATGTCAAACACCCATCATCACCGTCATCCAAACAAAATCATCATCAATATTTATCATTGTTTATCGGTGAAATAGTCTGTATACAATATGAATGTCAACATTGGTATTATGGTTATCGTTTAACAAATGAACCAAATAAATTGGGAATTTTCCCTAGAAATTATATTCAAATACAAAATAATTATAATTATTATTCGATTTCGGATTCATTGAATGATGATAATTTTGAACAAGAAACTATTCTTATCCTATATGAATGGATTTGTTTACTTAAGAAAATTTTCGAGGTAAACATTCATTTATAATTCATTTTTTGGAATCAAAAAAAAATAATGATTTTTTGTTTTTGTTTTCCCGGAAACTTTCCAAAAAAAAAGCAAGGCGACCAGGAAAAATATCTAACCATACAGAATTCAATATCCATATTGATTGAACATTATCAACTACTTAAATCGGGTAAATTAACAACAAATGAATTGAAAAAATTAAAATTTGAAATTATCGATACAATCGATATTGGTAATAAGTAAGTGTTTGTTTGTTTGTTTGTTTCAATGTGAAAAAATCATAATTTCAAAATCAAAAAAAATCTAGACATTTGAATTTAGATTTAATCGTACGAAATGAAAATGGCACAATTATCAATCCATTTGAAACAGATATTATTGAATATTTTGAATATCATTGGACAAAAGCACAAAAATTACGTTCAATATTTCGTTGTTCAAATGATTCTACCAATTCAACTCGGTTAGATCCAGCAAAATATTCAAACAATATTGAATCGAATAGACAATCTGATTATCATCATTATTATAATTATAATTATAATCATAATCATGATGAACAATTCAATATAAATAATTATAATAATTGTTTTAATTTTTGTATAACATTATCAAATTTTATCTGTATGATCAAACAAGATATGATTATTAATATGGCTATTTATGATGCTAATAATCATAAATTTTTAACTGAAAATTATATTGTTAAATGGGAAAAAACTGGTTTCGTTCGAGAAGTAGAAAAAATTAATAATATTCGTGTTGTTTTTACGGTATGTTTAGATCGATTGATTGATTGATTACTAATTGACTAAATTATTTGCTTTTCTTTCTAAATAGGATTTTAGTGCAAATGATTTATTTCAAAATAATAGCATTAGTAAACAATCATTATATTTAGTTTGTCAGGTAATACGTGTTGGTACAATGAATATTATTGATAATGATCGAATGCGAAAGGCTACTTATTCAATGATGAAAAAATCGGATGTTGATGAATTAAAACGACCATGTGGTGTTGCTGGTAAGTGTTTTCTTTTCTAAACGGGTAAATGTCTTTCATTTTATTAACCCCTTCTACCTCTCCAATTCAATTCAATTCAAAAAGTTTACAGTTTAAACGATATAATACAAAATCATCTGAATCAACGTGAAAAAAAAGAAATATTCATACCATTAGTAATGTGTACGGAACGTGATTCATTAGATTCATTATTACGTAAAATAATTCGTGATCCAAAAGATTCAAAAGATCAATGTAAAACACAAGGTTTTATCATTTCAATATTATTATTTACAAGTTATAAAATGCAATTATTAGATAAATATCGTATGTATTATGCACAATATCCAATTTATATTGCAAGGAAAATTGGTTTTCGTGATATTATCCTGCCTGAAGATATACGTAATGATTTATATCTAACATTAATATCAGGTGAATTTCATAAAGGAAATAAAAAATCAGAAAGAAATATTGAAGTAACAGTAAAAATTCTGGATGAATCCGGTACGATTATTGATGATTGTTTAGCTGTTGATTCACATAACGCAATGGATTCATTATATCGTAGTGTTGTTTATTATCATGAAGATAAACCAAAATGGATGGAAACAATTAAAATTGTTTTGCCGATTGAAAAATTTCCTGGTTCACATTTAAAATTTACCTTTAAACATCGTTCATCGAATGAAAACAAAGATAAAAATGAAAAACCATTTGCAATTGCATACATACGATTAATGAATCCGGATGAAACTACATTAAAAAATCAATTATATAATCTTTTTCTATATAAAATTGATTCAAAAAAATTTAATGAAATGGATAAAGGTTATCTAGCGTATCCATCTTGTAAAGATGATCCAAATCATCATCAGCGAACAAATAATTCAATTGAAAAACAACAACAAACAACAACCGGACAACAAACAAATCAAAAACAATCATCAAAAACATCGGTTCAAATGATTCAATATGTTCAAAGTCAACGTGATATATTTACAATATCAATAGTTATTTGTTCAACAAAACTTACACAAAATATACAAATTTTAAGCCTATTAGGTTGGCGTGATAATAAAATTCCATTGAATGAAATTTTGAATAATGTACAAAAATTAGATGGTAATGAAATAATGAAATTTTTATATGATGTATTGAATGGTTTGTTTGAAATATGGATGGACCCCAGTACTGATTCGCAATATGATCGTCAAATATTTGATGCATTAATCTATATTATTAAACATCTGCTACAGGATAAATATATACATTTTCAAGAAATATTAAATGAATATATTGATAAACATTTTAGTGCAACATTAATACATATGAAATTGATTGATTGTTTTAAATATTATATTGAAAATCCTGATTCAATTATTAGTTATCATACGATTACATGTATGGAATTTATATTTAAATTTATAATACGTTCAAGAAATTTATATGTTTTGCTCAATGGTGATATTAATCATGATCGATTTGAACAAGCGCTTGAAGATTTATTTGAAATATTCACTAGGCTGATGGACATTAATGATAACAAAGATAACAACAACAGTGAAAATATAATCAAAGTTAAACTTGGAATATTGAAATATTTTCCAAAAATTATTGAAAATGTTTTGACAATTTTTGATGAAAGAAAATTAGCCAATAAAATAATCAAATTGATAAAAAACATTCCGTTTACTGAATTAAGTGTACAAAAACTTTCTTGTATACATGAAATTATTGAAAGTAAACTATTTAGTGAATATCCTGATTGTCGTCGTAAATTAATTCCAACTATAAATATTCATCTACAAACGGCATTAATCATTGTAATTGATGAAAATTTTTATAATAATGAAAAATTAGAAAAATGTTTATCAATTATAAGTGATGCATTGAAAATTTTAATCAAACAAAAACGTAATAATATTAAATATGATATTAATGATTTTGTACAAATATTATTACAACCATTAATTAATATATTTTTATCATTACAATTACGAAGAAAAAAACAAAATGATAATAATACATTTTGTTATAAAATGTGGTCAATTATATTGGCTATTTTAAATCAAATGAATGATTATCATTATAATGAATTTTTTAACCGTCTGAAATTGGATCAAGAATTTGAATATTTTTTAAAATCATTATTAAAAATTTTTAATCATTCAACCGAATCTATTTATCCAAACGATTGGACTTTTATGAATATTACACAAAATGTGTAAGTATTTTTTTATTTGAATGAATTTTTTGGCTTAAAACTAACGATTTACACACTTTCCTTTCCTTTTCTTTTTGCCTAGTGTCATAGTAAAAACAATGACCCGTATTATAAATTTTACCAAAGAAAAAATTTCATTCAATGATTTTTCCATTGAAACATGGAATCAATTATTTTGTATATCGATAAAATTCATAACACAACCATCATTAATGTTGGAACAATTTCGTTTTTATAAACGTAAACGTTTAGAAAAAAATTTCACCAAAGATTTACGTTTAGAAATGATTATTTTGATACGTTCATTATGGTTTTATTTGGGTAATCATAAAATTGAACTTATACCATCATTAATTGGTCCATTATTACAAGTAGCACTGATACCAATGCTAGCTATAAGAAAAGATACGATTGTTATATTTTTTGATATGTTTTTATGTATGGAAAAAATGACAATATTTCGTGATGAAATGCTAACGCAATTAGATTTATTAATACCCGATGGTAAAGGTGATTCGGAATTTCAACAATTATTATCAACAATGTTTATTGAATCAAGTGAAAATCATGAAGAATTTATTCGAGAAAATTTTGTAAAATTTGTATCGGAAATTAGTGAACAAATTGAAAAATTATTAATATATCGCAGTGTTGTTAGTAATATTGATAATTATGAATCATTAATGAGTACTATAATTGATTTATTAGATTTTTATGAACGTATTGATCGTAGAGAATTATATATACGTTATTTATATAAATTATATGATCTACATTTAAAATATGAAAATTATAATGAAGCTGCATATACGTTAACCCGTCATAGTATTTTATTGGAATGGTCAGATAAACAATTGGAACAATTATTACGTAATGAACGTTTTAATAATATTTATAATTCACATCGTGAATTAAAAGAAAAATTATATTTTGAAATTATTGAAAATTTTAATAAAGGACAATTATGGGAAGCAGGTATTGTTTATTGTAAAGAATTAATACAACAATATGAAAATGAAATTTTTGATTATGTAAAATTGTCTGGATTGTTTGAAAAAATGTCATCATTCTATAAACTAATCATATCTAGTGTACGAATTGAACCAGAATATTTTCATGTAACATATTTTGGACAAGGATTTCCCGGGTTTTTCCGTAATAAATCATTTATATATCGTGGTAAAAGTTATGAAAGATTATTTGAATTTACAAAACGTCTACAGAATCAATTTCCACAAGCACGTTTATTGGATAAATTGGATGTTGAAGAATCAGAATTGATGAATCGTAATGAACAAAATCTATCAATTTATCGTGTTGATCCAAAAGTAAATGATGAAGTGAAGAATAAATTCTTACGAACATTAGTTGATGAAAGAATCATAAAATATTATCAATATAATGAAATAAATCATTTTATATTTTCAAGAAAATTAATCAAAGATGATAGTAACGACAATAGCAATAACAATAGACCATCATCATCATCGAATGAATTCGCTTGTATGTGGATCGAACGTAGTGAATATCGTACAGCATTTCCATTACCCGGAATATTATATCGTTCGGAAATAATTGATAAACATAGTTATCAATTAAATCCATTGAAAAATGCAATAGATACAATGGAAAAAATGAATACAAAAACTCGGATGATCATATATAGATATTTATTGGATGATGATAATCAACATCCATTACATAATTTATTGATGCATATTAAAGGTATTGTTAGTTCGGATGTACAAGGTGGTGTATCCAAATATGAGGAGGCATTTTTCAATGATAAAGATAATGACGATAAAGATAATCAATCAAATGAATATGATAAAGAAGATCTTGAACAGCTACGAAAATTGATTGTCGATCAAATACCATTATTGGATTTAGCAATAAAAATTGCTGATCAAAAACAACGACAACATCCGATCAATCAAAGTATGGATGGTCTTTATCAATATATTGTTGAATCTTTCGAAAAAATGCGTATCGATGTACGTTGTAAATATTCAGATATTTATCATAGTGATCTTCCTAGTGATATGCAAAAAATTATTGAAAATCATTATAAAATGCAACGTTTAGCTTGTTCAATGTCACAAGATCAATCGCAAATAATTGCAACACCAAATGAACATCGAAATTCAATCGATGGAACAATGTATGTTGTTGTCTTTTAGGTAATTTTTCGTTGTAAAATTATAATTCTTTTAATCCTTTCAGGACATTAACCAAACGATCATTATTCAGTCGATCGAATACAAATGCAGCAAATCTTACATTACGTTTTCGACGTAAAGATTCCAGACGTCTGAATCCAGATTCATCAAATTCAATTTGTTATTCATCCAATGCAAATATTTCACAAACACAATGGTATACTGATCATAAAAAATCTACAGGAAATTTAAGCTTTATTTCTGATAATAACAATAATAATAATAATACGGAACAATCATCACCAACCATAAATGAAAATTCAAAGAATCAAGCAAAAATATCAAGTCGACCATCAAGTGGAAATTATAGTTCACGTACATCAATACAAAGTCAATTAAGTGTTTATTATCCAATGTCATCATCATCAATATCATTGGAAGAAGATCAAGATGAACTGCCACCAGAATTACCGGATAAAAAAAATGTACAGCCATTACCCGAATTGCCAGTAAAAATGCGTTCAAATTCAAAAGTTTAACCCACAAAAAAAATTAATTTGATTTAATTATCAACATCCAAATGATTAATATTGATTATGTTTGTAAAATTTTCCTGTTGATCTATGGTTTTATCCGGATCCATTGTTTGATAATCAACTAAATCGTTTAGGATTTTTTTCAAATTATTTCTAACATAATGTCTTAAATCTATCAAATAGAAAACCAAAAAAATCATTAATAATTTTGTTAACAAATTTATCAATTTGACACAAACCTTTCAAAACAAAACCAATATCCATAATGGTTTTTTTATCATTTTTCCATATTTTATGAAAATAAAGAAATGTACCAAAATAAAATTGATTGAAAATATTCAATACTGAATCGGATTCATTTATAAAATGATTAAGTGAACCATCACGTAACATTTGTAAAATAATTTGTGTAATATTCATACTAGTAATTGCAAATGGATAATGTTGAATTTGATCCAGTGAAAGATTATAAATTTCTTTGCTCAACTGGCAAACTTTTGGTGTAATAACAAAGAATGTTAATTGAAATAGACCAAGAATACCAACACCACGAAAATCCGTTGATGGATCCGAACCTTGAAAACCAATTTCTTCCCAATGTTGACCAAAACGTTTAAGTGCCGAAATAACATTACCCGTTAATTTTGCAAAAATCGTATACAAACATCTAATATGAAATTTATTACGATTATCAAACGATTGACCTGCAATACGAATAATTCTATTGCCTTCAGCTACATGATGTGGTTTTAATTCATAATTTTTCCAGAAAATTATGTATCGTAAAATTTTCATTAGAAAATTACATTTCTTTCCAAAATAAATGATTGTTTGATTTTGCTGTGAGTGAAAAACAAAAGATTAATTATGAAAAATTAATTACGGAAAACAATCGATAAAATCATTACAGGTTCCAAATCGATGCTATAAAAATATGAAATTAATTGCTGATAATTTATAAAATCAATTGAATCCTGTTCAATTGATTGATGTACATCATTGTTATTTGGAACATTGCTAATATCGATGATCGGAAGGCATACAATATCATCCCATTCTTCGGACATGATTCTTCTTCATTTGATAATAAATCATTCCAGGATAAGTCAAATGAAAGAAAAGAAAAGAATTCCAAGATACAATTCTCGAATCATTTTGAAAAACAACAATTTGTTGTCATGGAAATTTAAAAATTTTCTTCATAAAATTTACCATTTAAACCACAGTAGCCTAACAAGGTGGATATAGGAATTTTTGGCTCGCGCTATTTTTCATTCTAACAATTTATTTTGAAATGATCGTTGTTAAATTTTATCATCTTTATAATTAAATTAAAGTATTTAATGATTTTTTTATAAAAAAAATGGCAACATCTGAAGATTTTTTTGGTGGAAATTCTTTCATTTCAAGTCCAAGTGTTAATGATGATGGTAAACGTAAAGTTAGCCTTTCAAGACGTGCATTGAATAGTCGAAAAAGTTTACGTACATTTGAAACTGATCCAGATCAAGAACAACCAATCGAACATATTGATCAACAAGAATTTGGTGTTCATTTGAATTCATTACATGAAATCAATTCAAAAACATTCAATCCAAATAATGCTTTTTCATATGATTTCATAAGCATAATAGATGCATTTCTTTTGAGACGTGAAAATATTGATTTCAAAATGATAGCAATGTCTATTGATGCTGGTACAAAACTTTATGAAAGTAAAGTAAGTGTTGTTTTTTCGAACACACAAAAAATATCATCCAGTTTATCGATGGCAACATCTGAACAAAATGCTGCAAATTTTGATGATGGACTTTTTGATAATGATTTAGGTGAAAATAATGCCCGAACAAGACGTAAAAAGCAACGAAAAAACATTAAAACAATCGCTGCTAATATTGAAACGTTGAATGGAAAACCCGATACTAATATTGAAATCGATCCATTGTTTCATCATTTGTCGGCTGCATTTGATGTTGGCAATGTAAACTCTTTGTTGATGACAAATTTATCAGTGAATCCACACGGTGCTTTATTATTAGATTCAAAAGCAAGTTTAGATTTTGATTCATTACCAAATATCGAATGCCGTTCAATGAAATTTCCATTCATAAAATCAGAATATGCATTTGAACATCCTTACATTTGTCGACCTTGTATGAATTTTGAATTTCTTCATCGTGACATTGATATCGAACCTGAAGAATTGACTAGCCAACGTCAAATAGATACAGATACTAATTTAAATTTTGATTTCGACATAAATGCAAATGTCGATGATATTCAAGAGCCAGAAGAATTGAATTTCGATGATTATGTTAATTCATCAATTATTAACAACGATGTAACAGTTAACAATAATGATTCTGATACTGAAAACATTTTGAAATTTTTACCACAAGCAAATGAAATGGATAATCAATTGTTTAATAGAGAATTTTTACAAAAAAAATTTCAAAATATTCTTCGATATCGTACATTAAGTCGTAAGGAAAGATCTGCACCACGTCCTAAACGACAAAAAGTAGCTCCTGTTGCATTTGACTATTTGAATATCGTTCATAATGATAGGGATAAAAAATTTAAAATATCAAGTTCATCACATTTTCAAGATCAAACAGTATCCAAATGGATTAGTTCATCAAAAGAAAAAAGATTGGATGAAATTCAAAGAAATTTTCATTCGAATAATAAATTTTGTTCATTTTTAACAATGAATTTTGATTTTTATGCATCACTTGAAAATAATAATAAAAATAAAAGAAAAATCAATATGGATGATTATGATGATGATGGAATATCGAATGATGGTGGATTTGATGAACATGCTGATGAAACAATACGACATCAAACAAATTTTGATTTTAATGATGATGATTTTATTGATGAAAGACCGGCATTTAATTTGGATTTAGATACTGAACCAATTAATAATTTAGATACAGAACAACCACATCATGTTGATGCATTGGATATTGATTATGCAAAAGTAGCTAAAAAAGTTGATATAAAACGTGTTAAATCAAGTATGTGGTCACTTATTAAACAGGCAACTGTATCCGATCCAATAACAATGATGGATGATATTCAAAGTATTCAAACACCATCCGATAATGGTAGTAGTCAAAGTAATTTTTCTTTCTTTAAATTACGTCAAAATCTGCCATTTACATTAAGACAAAATTTGAATGAAAATTTAAGCACACCGATTTCATTCGTAGCCTTATTACATTTATGTAATGAAAAGGTATTTTTCCATTATTTGAATTGAATTATTCATTTTAATCATTTTTCTTTCTTTCTTTTTCCCCAAATCAATTCAGAATCTTAAATTGACACGAGATGAGCTTTCGGATTTTCTAATTGATGCACCGACTGTTTAATGATTATAAAAAAAATTGAAATATTAAAATTTACATTTTTGCATCAAATAATCTTTTTTTGTTTCATTTTAATAATTTATAATTTAAAAATGATGGTGAATTTTAATTTAAAATTTCAAACAATAGATGGCAATCCATATCCAAATTTTTTATTTATTTTTTTTTTGTTTGGATTATAGAACCCGTGCTGCCATCTTTTCAAATGTAGACCTAAATTAAGCTAATCGCGTCCTATATTTAAATCCTGAACAATTATTTTCGGTATCGAAATGACTTTGATCTTTAAAAAAAAAAATTTTTAATCTTTATCACAATCACAATAATATAATTGTAAACCAAAAAAAATGAAATGAAATTAAATAAAATTAAAATTTTTTAAAAAAATCGACTATCAATCGAATCAGGTAAATAAAAAAGAAAAGAAGAAATAAGGTAGTTTCATTCATGAAAATTATTACACCACCTTTTCCCCCACCCACCAACAGCAAAAAAAAGAAAACAATCGTCTTCAATTAAGAGGGGGGATTGAAGAAGGAGGAGTCTTATTTAACAACAACAACATTAACACAAATACAAGCATGTTTCATTGTTTTCTTTCAATTGATTTTTGATTCCAATTTTATTGATTTATATAGGCTACTAGATGATGATGATGGGCGTGGTCTATGTACAACTTTTAAATGACGATGCATATTACCCGATTGTGAAAATGAACGAAAACAGGCCGGACATTGATATGGTTTTTCACCTGTATGCGTACGACGATGTTTAGTATAGGTAGAAAAATCACCAAAACGTTGTTCACAAATTGTACAATGATATGGTTTTTCACCCGTATGTATACGAATATGTGTTCGTAAACTGGAACGTTGTACAAAATTTTTCTGACATATATTACATTGATAACGGCCACTTTGTTTACTTTCATGACGACGTATATGTGCACGATAACGTGAATTTGATTCATATATTTTATTACAATTTGGACATATTAATCGTTGTTGTTGATGATGATTTTTGAATTCATCCACCGATATCATCATTTGTAAATGCGGTGATGATGATTGATCATGGATCATCAAACTAACATCGCTATTATCGATAGTCGTTTCGGAATCTGTTTGAAAAACGAGAGAAAAAAAATTAGTAAATTTAAATTCAAAAGTCAAAAATCAAAAATCAAAAATCAAAAGTCAAAAATCAAAAATCAAAAATCAAAAATGTTTATAGAATTTACCACTATTAATCGATGATGAAATCAATGATGTTTGATATGAAAGATCTAATGGTTCAATTAAATTCATTAAACATTGTTCAGAAAATCCACTATCCAATGAATCAGTTTCCGATGTTGTTGGTGATGATGGTGGTGGTGATTGACGATATGATTCTGTATGATGATAATTAAGATGATAATCATCATTATTATTTGATTTAGATAATGATGATGTAACCGAACGTATAATTCTTTTCTTTAATGGTAATTGATCCATTGTTGTTTCGGTTGTAATATAATATTGTTGATGTTGTTGTTGTTGATGGTCCATCGATGATTGATTGAAAATCGAGAATTTGAAACTTCGATCAGTGTTGATATGTGTGTGTGGCGAATGATCGATGAACAGTATATGATTGATTTCATTTATTTTTTTTAGCAATGACCATTGGTCATTTATATATCCTTTTGAGGAATTTTTTTATCTCATTTACCCTTTTTCTCTTTTTGTTTTCTGATTTCTCATTGAATACAGTGTGTGTGTGTTTGTGTGTTTGGTTATTACTTTTTTTTTACTACTGCTACTGCTACTTATTGGTTATCATCAGTGTCATTTTCATTATTATTATTATCATCATTTTTAATTTACCCTTCAGCACTTTCTCAAGAAACCCAAAAAATAAAGAAATTCATTCTATTTTGTACCCAAAACAACAAACAACAACTAATATCGGCATTATTATTATCGTTGTTGTTGTCGTCATATATACGTTTTAGACATTGAGACTTGTCTCTCTCTCTCTCTCACTCAATGTGGTCAAATCTTCAATGTTTGTGTATGGAACAAAAGATGCTCAATAAGTATTCATCAAACATGGAGATAATTTGTGGAGCATAGTGTGTGTGATTGATTGTTAGTCGGGATTGAAAAAAAGGGCCAAGTTTTTCAACAACAACAACAACAAAAAAGACCAGACAGAATTTGATGACACATTGATTGACTAGGTGTTTGTTTGTTTGTTTATGAGTGTGTGTGTGTGTGTGTGTGTCTAGGCGTCCCAATTCACCTGAAGGTATCGAAATATATTGATATCAATCAATATGAACCAGAATTCAGACAAATCATCTGATGACTCACTAACTGAAGAAATTGTCCAGCCATGAGGAAACAAAAAAAAAACATGATAAAAAAGCCGAAACTTTCTCACGATCAATAAATTCTTGTGATAAAATAGACAAAAATCAATATCTTTGGCTATCAAGGTGTGAATAACAACAACAACACCTTCCTTTTTCCTATCTGATAAGATTAGATCCATTGTTTGCCTTGTTTCAAGATAAAAGAATCCCAGTTTACCTAGAACCAAAATAACCAAAAAAAATCTAAGCCTATCCTAAATAACCAAAATATCGAAGCAATGCTAAAGAATCAATGAAAAAAAAGTTAGTTTTTCAAACATGAAAATTTGTTTTATTTTTTGATTTTTTTTTTTTTTTTTTTTTNAAAACAATGAAAAAAAAGTTAGTTTTTCAAAAATGAAAATTTTTTTTTTTTTTTGATTTTTTTTTTTTTTTTTTTTGTAAAATTTGTACACATTTGACATTGAACTTTGTTCCAAAAAAAAAAAAAAAAAGATTATTATTATTGTTTATCAATCCGAATATCGATCATTTTTGTTGATTGAAACAACAACAAACAAACAATAATAATTTGAATCAACAAACAAACAATCAATCTTTTTTTAAAAATATTTTTTCGAATGACCATACGTGATATGATATATTCAATATTTTCTTTTGGGGTAAAATTCCAATCAATTTTTTTTCTAAAAAAAAACTCAAAATATTGATATATCAATTGATTCATCATTGATTTTTGATAATGATGATGATGATGACCAATCAATATGATCATCATGATATTGGAATTTATTTATTTTGAAATATATCTTCTTTTTCATTTATTTTGTTTTTGTTTTCATGATGATTATTTTCTGTCCAAGCACAAGCACACATTGTACATATTTTGTAGCTGGCTTTAAGTATGTTAACTAAATTTAAATTTTATCTACAACAATATCAGGAGAGAGAGAGAGAGAGAGAATAAACAATGATCAACTATATTTAGCTGAAGCATGAGTAATTGGATAAACAAATAACAATGTAATAATGATAATAATAACAATAAAAAAGCCACTTTATCTATATCTTTTTACTTTATTTTAATAGCGCTATCGATTGATCGCATAATATCGATATCGATATCCTATAAATAATAATAATAAAAATATATATCACATTGATATATCACTTGTATCATTATTGTTTGTTGAATCATTATTGTTGATAATCAAATCATCATATTAGTCATGCCATTAGTGTGAATCATCATAGAATAATGATCATATATATGATCAATACATTTTGATGTAATCGATATCAATGATCAATTTGTAATTTGAAACTTTCGAATCAGATCAAATCAAATCAGATCAATCAGATCAATCAGATCAATCAATCAATCAATCAAATGGATACATTTTCATATACGATGCACCTGCATCTTAAAAACATTTTCGAACAAAAAATAATAATTGTAAACAACAACAAACAACAACAACAATGTTCAACCGAACAAAGAACAAAAAAAAGAAAAAAGAAAAGAAAAGAATTGAGCAATGAAAATGATAAATCAAAAACAAGAAAAACAAAAAAACAAACCAAAAATTTTGATTGAATTGGATCAGGAAAATAAAAATGAAAAATTTACTATATTATTATGACAACAAGAATAAGTGTCGTTAGGTACCTTTTTTGTTACTTTCGTTTATTATCGAGATTTTTTCATCCAGTTTGATTGTCGTTTGAATTCTGTAATAATATTATTTCAATTAAAATTGTCCAAATGTTTAAATGAAACCTTACAACAACAACAACAACAACAACAAAAACAAGAAGAATTTGCTTTTGTATGTTACCTTTCCAACTCTCTCTCTCTCTTTCTATACATTCAAAGAATTGGTCTGACATTGGTTGTTGATGCTTTTTTGTTGTTGTTGTTGTTATTATTGATGAATAAACTTTAACATTTTCAGTAGAATTTATATGAAAATCAAGCTCAATCGAATGAACAAAAAAAAGGTAGTATAAAAATGAATAACCTAAGTAAATGAAAATGAAAATGAAAATTCAGTGTACATTTCAACAACTGAATTGAATCGAAAAGCATCCAAAAAAAAAAGCATTTTGTTTGAATTGTAAACATATTGTGATAGGATAATCGAATGGATCATGAATTACAATTACAAAATTGTTATCAATTTTTTGATGATAATCATAATAATTATTATTATAATTATAATGATAGAATTTTTACAAAATTAAAACAATCAAACGATGAAATCGATGATATGGCCAATATGGAATATCCTTATCCTCACCATTATCATTATCCTCATCATCATAATCATCAATTGCATTCCTACCACCACCACCACCACCATCATCAGCAACAAGAACAACAACAATCATCATATGAACTAACCAAAGAATCATCAATACCATATCAAATTATGATGATCAATGAGGACAATAACCTCGACCAAAGCAACCATAATCATAACCATAATGATCATAACCATAATCAAAACAATCAAGAATGGACAAATTCAATATATGATTGGCATACAAATTGTCATTATAATCATAATCATCATCCTCATCAACAACAACAACAACAACAACATGAGGAATCAATATTATCTGATCAACAACATGAACATTTTGGTAGTAATAATAATTCATCAAATATGTCGACAACAATAATAACGACGTCGCCAACAATGACGACAGCCATCAACAGGTAAGAAATATTCATAGCCATCATTTATTTTTCACACAAGTTTTAAGTTTTTAAAGTTTTTTAACAACCAACACACACAAAAAATGAATACATATGTTTTGAATTCACTTGGTTGTTAAGGAACATTCATTGAATTTGAATGTTTGAATTTGATTGAATTGTCTATAAGAATAATGGCACCAAAAGTTGTTTGAACTTTCTATGAATCCATTATTATTATTATTATTCTTCCAATATTCAATCAATCAATTAGCCAAAAAAACCAAACCAAACATAGACATGGCCATTTTGTCACACACACATACACTGTCGCTTACTGATTAATGATGATTGGTCAATATAAACGGTGTGTGTGTATGTATGTGTTAAAGCGGCTATTCTCTTTGTTTGTTAAACATTGTTTCGCATTGGGTGGCTTTTGTTTATAGCTCTTATTATGGATCAAATTTTATTCAAATTCTGATTACTGCACTGAACTATAGTCCGTCAAACACAAGCATATGTTAATAGGCTTTATTACTTATTTTGTTTGTTTCTCAGACAATAAAAAACAAAGACGAAGAAAACACAGACATTTAAATTTTGAAAAGAATTTCTATCCAAAAATTAATAGTTTGTTTGATTTGATTTGATTTGATTTGATGTAGTAGATCTTTTGACCAGACTGATTATCCTAATCGTTGTTCAACATTTGATGAATCAGAATCAACTTATAATCATCACCAGAATCAAAGACCACTAGATGATAATGATTATCATTATTATAATAATCATCATCATCAATTTATGGATACAAATCAACAACAACAACAACAACAAAATAATGAAATATTAACAAATTTTTCATATAATGATTATCATCAATTGAATTATTTGAATGATGAACAACAACAACAACAACATGATAATCATCATGAATTTAACACTTTCAATCCATCATCGAATAATATTCATCATGATAATGATGATGATAATGATGATAGATGTTTCATTCCGATATCAATCCCATATGATAATCATCATCATCATTATCATCACGAGGAAGATTTATCCACCAATAATCATAATGGTATAATGACAAATTATGAAATGATACCGAATACATCATCATCCGCATCGTCCGCATCATCGTCGTCAACGGATGAAAATATTGAACAACCATCGGCGACAACGATTATGCATCGATGTTCATCTAAATATAAATTAATGACAAAATTAAGTGAACATATTACAATTGAAAAACATGATTATACTACCGATATATATCATAGAATTAAACATAATGCAATTTGTAAAAAAACAAAAACATTATTTAGTAGTAGTAGTGAAATGACAAAACATTTTCAAATCAATGCACATCATGATATTGATCAATCGAATCGTCATATTCATAATCATCCATATCATGAATATCATTATAATCAAAATAAACGTTCGTCGAATATCGTCGTCAATAATAATGAATACAATAACAATACGGTGAGCAGCAATAAAACAAACAGGACAACGACTACGACGACAACGAATAACATTTGTTATCAATTAGTAAATAAATATAATTTATGTTTTATATGTGGGAAAAATTATGCACGACCATCAACATTGAAAACTCATCTACGAACACATTCGGGTGAAAAACCATTTAGGTATGATTAGAGAAAAGCAACAACAACAAAAAATTTATCAATTACCGTTTTTTTCTTTCTTTCTTCTTTCTGCTTTTGATTGTTTATTATTTTTGAATTTGAATTTGAATTCAAAATCAGATGCCAGGTATGCAATAAAGCATTTTCACAGGCGGCCAATTTAACTGCACATAATCGTATACATACAAAAGAAAAACCATTTCCATGTCCAATTTGTCAACGTAAATTTTCACAATCATCATCGGTTACAACACATTTACGAACACATACAAAAGAACGACCATATAATTGTCATTATTGTAGTAAATCATTTTCCGATTCATCAACATTAACTAAACATATGCGAATACATTCGGGTGAAAAACCATATAGGTTTGTACATTATTGAATAATATATATTTGGATTACTTATATTGAATGATATTTTGCTTTGTTTTGTTTTGTTTTGTTTTTTACCATCTTCAAATATATAGATGTCGAATGTGTTTATTAAGTTTTTCACAATCCGGAAATCTAAATCGTCATATGAGAATTCATAACTGAAAACATTCGAAATGAAAAAAGAATGGATTTTTTTAAACAATCGATTAATCGATGATCAACAATCGATTGTTTTGTTTATGTTTTTTTAAAATGTTTTGTTTTTGTTTTTGGAAACAAGAATATTCTCTTTCTTTTTTGTTTTTTTTTCTAGTCAATTTTTTTCCAAAATTAAATGATCACCGAAACATTAAAATTGGTAAAAATTCATGAAAATACTCATCTAATTGAACAATGTATCGAAATACTTAATGAAGAATGGCCAAGAGAATCACAACAACGAATGAAAACAATGAAACGTTCATCGGATAATTTTCCGATTTGTTTGGCATTGATTGATGACCAACAACAAAACCAAGAAAAAGTTATCGGTTTTGTTAAATTAACCAGTGAAAAACCATTTAATCCGGTTATATTTGTTGAATCATTAATCGTATCGAAAGAATATCGTCGGAAAGGAATTGGACGATTCATCATGGAACAAGTGGAAAAATTTGCAAAAGAATTGAATTTTGAAAAAATTCATCTGACGACAACCGATCAACAGGAATTTTATCTAAAATTAGGATATCTATTACCCAAATGTAATAATAATAATGGAAATAAAATCTTAATGTATAAACATATTTTGTAAAACTTTTTTCCTACTAAAATAAAATTTGAATTCAAATAAATCATTTTTTTCATTTTGTTAACCCCCCAAAAATAAATCATTTATCAAATCATTGATTTCCTCATTAAAACCTAAATTGAGGAAATTCAATTTAGGCAATTAACTTTCGTTTTTTTTGAATGCGAAAAGAGAAACCAAAAAACATTTTTCGGTCCATTTGATGGCACGTGGCATCAAACCCACTAAATTGATTTCAATTAACCAGATTTGAACATTTCGGTTGTTGGATCTTTCCGCTCTTTGAATTCTTATATAAATAGGGGAATTTTCGAAAACCAAAAACCACACCAAAAACATGTTGAACGATGTTTGGATGTCGTATTTGCGTTTGTCCGCACGATGCCCACCACCAAAAATCAACGACAAAGAGAGCATTTGGTACTAAGTACTAGCGCCGCAGGAGTGTTTCAATCCATTGAATTGGAATCGAAATGAATAAAGTTTTTCACTCCTGCAGTACTAGTGCTTATTGCTGCATGTTTCCAATAAAATCATCATCCATTGATCCAAAATTCGTTGAAAAACCAAAAAAAAAAAATACATAACGTAAGTCTTTTTGTAAAAAAAATTTTTAAACAACCATGGTTAACCAGAAAAACTATATATGCAAAGAATTTTGAATTTTTTTTATTTGTAAATTCACACAAAAAATGAAAGAAAAAATTCAAATTCAGAATACATAAAATATAAAAAAATATTTACACATGTAGAACCGCGACACACACACACACAAGAAAGAAGAAAATTACAAACTAAATATAAAGATTAAAGATGATAAAGATGATGATCACTTGAAGATTTTCACATTGTTCGATTGAATTTGTTGATAGCTCTGTTTTCGATGTCTTTTGTTTTGTTTTCTATGTCTTTTGCTTTCGTCATTTTATAATGGAAAAAACCAGCAGCAGCAACATTTGATGCAGCACATTTGATTCTGAAGAATTTAATCACAGATACTAAAACTCTAATTTTGTTTTCTGTTCAAATATATAATGTTTTATGACATAATGGACAAATATCCTGTAAATAAAGCCATTTTCTAAGACAAACACTATGAAAATAATGATTACATTTTGTTATACGTGCTGTTGTTAATTCTTGATAACAAATTGAACAAACATCATCAAATTGTTGTAATTGTTCTGGTGATGCTTCTGGTAATGAATTTATTTTACGTAATGCTTGATAACGTTTAAAAAATGTTTTTAAACCTATTTTTGATTGAAACAAAACGACGATCATCAATAAAACATGGGAAAACTAAGTAATTTCAAAAATCAAATCAAATACCTGCAATTGCTTGACACCAAATATTAAAATAAGCATGTATACACATCATTAATGCACGTATAGTACCACCAGATTCAAAAATAAGTATCCATGTACCATTCAAAAAAAGAAATATACCGAATACAAATTCAATTAGATTACCAATTGTACGAACATAATAAACATAATCATCTAATTGTTCCCACATTGATGTACGAAAAGCATCAATCATGAATAATGTATATATTAATAAAGTGATTATCACCTATTTGGTTTTCAGGGGGGGGGAAAATTAGATTTTAAAAAAAATGATTAAAAAAAATTTGGATTTTTTTTTTGTTTTCAAAATTTTACATACTTTTACAATAACTTCAATACCGAATGCTGAAACGGCTAATAACCAAGTTGAAATAGTATGGTGGGTCCAAAGATAATTCAAAAACAAATATGGTGATATAATTAAAAATGTACAAACAGTTAAAGCTCGTAAATGTCTTTGTAATGACATATTTCTTGATGCACTTAATGAAAATAATAATGGACTGACCATATTATGTATAAAATGTAACATGGCAGTAAATAATAGACAAAAATTTCTATATAAACGTAAAAATCTTTTCTCTGGTTCCATTGATGTTAGTCCATTTTGTAATGCAAGTATAAAAAACATTATAGCCGATATTGAACCAATTGAACGATCATCAGGATCATCAAGTATTAAAAATGTTTGCATCATACAACCAATTTGATGTGTAATACCGGACAAAACGGATGTCATACCAAGTACAGCAATAAGTGTTTCACAACCACGTACCATTAAATGTTTACAATTATCAAATATTGCTGTACTATTCAATATAAATATTGATGTATCGAATGTTGTAGCTGTTGCGGTAGTTTCAGGATATTTTTCCATCATTAAAAATATTGCCTGTTGTGTTATACGAATGATCCAGAATATACGAAATACCTTTATTTGTACGAAACAATTTTTGAAAAACAAACATTAAACATGATTAAAACAACCAAATACACAAACAAACCTGTGGTACATGAAGCCGGTTCCATTCCGATTCAATCAATGCAAATAAACCTAAATCTCTCATATAGGATTTGATCCAAACAAATTTTAAATATAATGCCTGTATAATATTCTGTATATTCATTATTAATGTGACCAGTATATATATCAAAGATATTGACAATGTAATCGATGGAAAATATATTAAATATTTGTTCGATATAAACATTGTTAAAAAGAATGCATAATATGGTAATATAAAAAAGAATGCAGCAACAAATGGTATTATTGATTTATATATTCCAGTCAAATAGATGAATGATATGGCCAATATCATCTGATTAATAACAAAAAAATTAATTAAAAAATGAATAACAATTTGTAATAACATACCTGACAAATATAATTTGTAATAAACATATAATGTAAACCATTTGTAAATGATAATTGTTGTTGTACCAAATTAATTATACCATCATTATTATTATTATTATTATTCATAAATACTAATGTTACATAATGATCATTAAGAATATATGATAATAATGCCGTTATAATTGATAACATCCATTTATAAAATTGAAATAAATATTCGGTTGGTAATAAAAATAATGTAAATGATAGTAGAAATACTACAGTTTTATAAAAAAAAAGATTACAACATTAAAAAGATTACAAAATTACAAAATTATAAATAACACTTACCTAATGCCATAATAAAAGCTGATGCATTATTTAATATTGCCTGAAATTGTAATGAATTTAAATCATTTGTATGGCTAGTAGTAGTAGTTGTCAATTGTTGTTTATTATCATTATTATATAATAAATATTGAAAGACAGTTGAATTTGTTTGATTAATATTGATATTATAATTATAATTATAATTATAATTATTGTTGTTATTATTATTGATGAAAATATTAAAAAATTCTGATGAAAATTCAGTCAATTTCATATTATTTATAAATATTGAATCCATAACAAATAACGGTGGTATACGTAGTATAATGTCCATCATACGATAAAGACGACGACGAATTGGTGAAGACATTCTTGTTATATCGAATGTCATGGACATATTTCCGTTTCGGATTTCTGGAATTTGTTTTTGGTTACCCTCCCCAAAAAAAAAGAAGATTCTTTTCGAACGAAAAAAAAGATGATGTCAACGAACAAGACAAAATAAAAGTTCTTCTGTTGTTTATGTTATTTGGAAAAATAGAAGAAGAAGAAGATGATTTCTGTTCACAAGACTCATGTGTTATCGTCGTTGTTTTTTGATTATATAAAATATATCTAATCAATTGACAAAAAAATGATTGATTGATTGATTGACTGGCAATAACAGAGAGAAAAGCACATGTTGAAACACAAAGATATCACATTCTTTTTTGCGGTTCAATTCATTGCCGAAAATATCGATAACCAATTGAATTGGAAAAGATTTATCGTGTTTTCAATGATGATACTCTTCATTCATTTTTTTTGGATAAATTCATTATCATCGAGTACTTTGAAGAAGAAGAAGTTTCAAGAAAAAGTTTGAAGAAATTCGTTCGAATCAAAGAGCCCAAAACGATGATGATGTTGAAAAAAAAACTATAAACGCCAATCAAAGATATTGTTGTTCGTGGATAAAAACTCATTTGATCATGATGATGATGATAAAAAGAAAAAAAAAAATTCACCACGAAATACGGTCAACAAACAAACAAAACAAAACAGCTGGCAAAAAACAACTTTTTTTAATATTTCGACAAATGATAAAATCAGAGCCATTTTGGTAGTGGTAAACAAGTGATGATGATGATGATGATGAGCAAAAACAGAATTGATTCGATTTGAAAACACTAGATGGCTGATGGGTGCTTAGGAAAATTTTTTAAAAAAGGGTTTTTTTTTTGTTTTTTGAAAAACTAATTTTTTTTAAACATTTTTTTTTAATTTTTTTTAATTTTTTTAATTTTTTAAATTACAAACAAGAAATTGTAATAAAATCTAAGGCAAAAAAGTGAATTTATAAATTTACTTTTAGTTTTAGTTTTTTGCTTTGTGCAAAGTGTGAACATTTTGTGTGTGTGAAAATCAAACACCACCACTGCCACCAATATTGATTGATTGATTATCGATACGTTGTGGAATGAAAGTGAACCAAAAAAAAAAAACATTGAAAGATGAAAGAATCTAGATGACTGTATCGAATTTTTGAAATTCAGCCAGTCTGTTTGAATCCTATTATGGAGAAGAACAAAAAAACAAAACATTGAAAAGTTCAATCAGTAAAATTGATTGATTGATTGATTCTTGACTTTTGTTTGCATACTTTTTTACACCAATTAACAAATTCTTCGAATGATATTAGCCCATCTTTGTCTAGATCGATTTTCTTTCAACAAAAAATCAGAAAATATTTGAAAGGTTAGAAAAGGGTTAATGAAGGGAAGCCATATACTTACATGAAAAAATAAATCTGCATGTTCTTTGGCACCACGAATATTGCTCAATGGTATTGCACATTCGCCTTTTGCAGAAATAACAAAAATTCAAATTGGATTAGTTTTCCCGCCAAAAAAAAAAAATTCAAAATAGTTTTTCTTCCTTACCCAATAGTTCATAGATAGCATTTGTAATAAGATACATTTCATTTTTACTAATATAACCATCACGATCAATATCGTATAGATTGAAAATCCAGTTTAATTTTTCTGTAATGCAAAAAAGAAAAACCGAATAGGAAAAACGTGAAAAAACGGAAATTATTTCGGTTAGAATCGAAAAAAAACGTTGAATAACCGGGAAAACGGGAAAGAATTTAATCGATTCTATCTGGAATCAAAATTATCAATTCAATTCAAGAATCGATAATAGAATCAAGAATCGACAATCAAATCAAATTAAATCAGAAATTTTTTTCTGGTGAATTTGATTAAATGATTTTTGGGTTGTTTGTTCTCTCTCTCTGTGTGTGCTGCTTGTCAATTATTCGGTTTTTCGATTTGATTTGGAGCACTTTTCATTAAGTGAATCTTTGACAATTCCATCAACAACAAAAAGTTTGTCGGATTTTTTTTCATTTTTGATCTTGTTTGGTATACAATGAAATTTTCAATGGAACAAAACTACAAGTCTAATGATGATGATGAGTTTTTTTCTCTTTGTTTGTTAATTGTCTTTTTTTTTTGTCGAGATTCTAAGGATAAAATGTTTTCCAGAATAGAGAGAGAGAGAGAGAGAAGGAAAAACTTTGATTCAATTAAAATTTTGTTGTTGTTGTTGGGATGATGTTTTGCTTCTTCGCAAAAGATGATGCATTTAATGATGCTATTTTTCGAAATATATTTTGTTTGGTTATGTTGTTCTGTTGTGTTTTGTGTTTTACATGGATATTTTCTCTGTTTTGTTGTTGAATATTCTTCGATCAAGCTTGTTTTTTTGTCATTTTTTTATTGTTGTTCAAATTTCGGTATTTAAAATAAGAAAACCTAAAACTCCCCACCAAGAACCACAGTGTTGAATTTCAAAAAATTTTTAACCATAAAAAAATTACAATGTTAATACAATAGGGGGGAAAACAAGCGAAAATCAGTTACAAGATACAAACCAAAAAACAGCTGCTTCCACTGTTGTTTCTATCCAAAAAAAAGTCAACCAAAACATTCATTCATTCATTCAATCATTCTATGAATTCTGGCGACAACAGAATTCAGTATTCATTCATTCTATTCAATGAAAAGAAAAGAAAAAAGAAGCGTCCGAAAAAATTAAATGACAAACAATTTAATTGGATTCACTTTAGTGCTTTAGTGCAAACAAGCAAACAATCAAACAAGCGAAAAAGGGTAAATGTTTTCTCTCTCTCTCTCTCTCTCTCTCTCTCTCTCTCTCTCTCTTTGTGTGTGTGTTTTTTACATCAGCAAACAACAAGGAATATTCATCGAAATAATTGCTTTTTAGCCATACACACAGACACATAATACATCCATTTTTTTTTGCCATACTGAAACATACATTATTTTTTTCTTTCTTTTTGGTTATCTTTACCATAGCAGAAACACAAAACAACAAAACCGAAAACAACAAAAACCAAAACCGAAAAAAAACATGCATCAAACAAATGACAGAATTCTTCTTTTATCATTGCCATACACACAAAAGCCATACCATTCATCCATCCATGTCTGCAGACATTTTTTTCTTCATTCATACAAAACACACACACACAACACACGTACAGCATTAGATAATGACAGAATCTGATGGTTTAACACATCGTTTTCTTTGTGAAAAAAAGAAACAAAAATCAAAAAATCGAGGTGTTGATGTTCAATCAAATACACCACGCACAATAATTTTTTCTTTTTGACCATAAAATGATGTTTTCCTCTAAACAGAAGAAATACACAGCATTCGTAAATGTGTGTTGAAAAAAAGCATTGTTTTTTTTGGGTTATTTAACACATACACACCACACACACACTATCATCATCATCATGATGTTTATTGTTTCCATTTTTTGTTTTTCCAAAAAAAACAAGAAAAACATTGATTCTATGATGATGATACAGTTGGTACTACTACATTCAATTTGCTTTGTATATTCAATGTTGGCTTCACTGTCGAAATTCTTTTCTTGAAAAACAAAAAGGCATACAATGTGTGTGATTGAATGATAAACGAAGGAAGAAGGAAAGAACAAGGGAAAAAACGGTAAAGACTATCATCATTTATCATATTCTTCGGTTTGGTTTGGTTTGGTCTGAATGAAAACACACAATAACCGAAAAGGCAGCTGAAACGAAATTTTTTTTTTTGAAAGAAAGAAATTCTTTTACGATTCTTTCCTGGTTGTTTTGTTTGTAGTCGATTTTTTTTACTATTCTGGATTTTGCAGACTTTGTTCTTTATGAAACATCGTTTTATTTTATTTTTTCAGAAAAAACAATGTATCATACAATCGATGAAAGAAATGAAAAAAATTTTCGAAAAAAAAATTTCATTCGCTTCATCTTTGATCATAGATAGTCATAGAGAGTTATAAACAAATTTTTTTGTTATGTTTTTTATTTCATGAAAAAAATAAAATTGGTATAGAAAATTCTTTTGGGAGAGAGAAGGAGAGAGAGAGAAAAGAATCTGTCATTGTTCATCATGATCATCATCATTATTATCATGATTTTGATGATGATAAATATGATTACCCGAAAAAAATGAACCGAATGAAAGAGAGAGAGAGAGAGAGAGAAAATGATATGAACATCCCAATTCTGGAATAAATATTGGTTTGAAACACTGAAAAACTGAATGAATGAATGAATGGGTGTGTGTGTGTGTGCCTGAATTCTTGTTGTAGTCGACGATGGTAATGATAAAAGATTCGAATATTGCCTAAAAAATATGTTATTCCGGATATTTCTACATATTTCATTTCAACCAGATATTATTATTATTTGCATATATTCATCTCATATCCATATATCATTAGTATTGTATGATTATCGACAAGAAAAAAAAATATCCGACTTTATTCTTTCCTCATTCAATTCATTCTCGGTTTCGGTTATTTTCTCTCGGTTATTTTTTCCCCTGTCGGAATCAGCCAAACAAAATGAAAAAGAATGGAAAAAATGAATGAATAAAAAACCAACTGGAAAACTAAACTGAACAAAAAAAAAAAATATCAAAGTCAAATTCAATATTTCATATTTTGTTTGTGTGTATGGGTACAATATATATCGTTTCTT